ATTTTACTTGAGTAAAATAAACACACGCATAGGCACACGGCGCGCACACACGCACACGCACACACACACGCGCGCACGCACACGCATAGGCACACGGCGCGCACACACGCACACGCACACACACACGCGCGCACGCACACGCATAGGCACACGGCGCGCACACACGCAAAGGCACACGCACGCACTCACACACACACGATCCTGCGACGGAGCGAAGGGATTTTGTACGAGTACATACGTACGTATGTAGTATTACGAGAGCCCAGACCCTCTCATAACTTTAAGATGGAGATGAAAATAACACATTTACACAAATAATTGCAATTATAGTTGTATTATATGTTATATTAATGAGTAAAATGTGTGTTTTTTATGGGAAATACATCAGAAAAACTTACTTATCTACCGATCATAAACCAAAACAAAACATTTATAAATGGCGTTTGTTCTCTTGTTTTGAATGTTTGTTAAGTCTCGCGGCTCGCGAGTTTTTAAACCGTAGGATGGCGACGCCAGATCGATGAATCATGCGTCTCTGATTGGTACGTGCGGTCGAGGTCCTATCCCAGAAACACCGCAGCCTACGCCCTACTCCCTAACCCTAACCCTAACCCTAATTAAATTTAATTAACACTAATAAATTTAATTTAATTTAAAAAAAATAATTTGTAAATAAATCATGTAAATCATGTAATCATGTAATCATGTAATCATGTAATTGTTGTAAATAAATCATGTAAATATTTGCGTTAATTGGGAAAAAATAGTTAAATGGATAAAGATAGAAAACTAAAAAGATAGAAAAATAAAAAAAATAAACAGATGGGATTCGAACTAACGCACTTCACACGTAACGCCAGACTACCAGCTCGCCTATTCAGTCGTATTGAAATTATATATTATGGATGTGGCATGCATACATGCATGCATGCATCGGTGCGGTGGTTTCTGAGATAGCCTGCTGTAAAGGGGTACACGCACCAATCAGAGACGCGTGATACATCAATCTGGCGTCGCATCCTACGGTTTAAAAACTCGCCCCCGGTTCAACGGACGGATTGCTAAGGGGAAGTGACGTCACTCCGCCCCCACCGTAGCCATCTCCGTAGCCATCTCGGCCATCGCGATTTGTTTTCGCAAATGAATTTGGAATGAAAATGAATTTGAAATGAAAATGAATTTGGAATGAAAATGAATTTGAAATGAAAATGAATTTGAAATGAAAATGAATTTGGAATGAAAATGAATTTGAAATGAAAATGAATTTGGAATGAAAATGGATTTGGAATGAAAATGAATTTGAAATAAAAATAAATTTGAAATGAAAATGAATTTTGAATGAAAATGAATCTGAAATAAAAATGAATTTGGAATGAAAATGAATTTGGAATGAAAATAAATTTGAAATAAAAATGAATTTGAAATGAAAATGAATTTGGAATGAAAATGAATTTGGAATGAAAATAAATTTGAAATAAAAATGAATTTGGAATAAAAATGAATTTGGAATAAAAATGAATTTGTAATAAAAATGATTTAGAATAAAAATAAATTAAAAATAAATAATAAAAATATCCGTAGCCATCTCGGCCACCATACTCGAGCTCTACTAGGTCATTACTGTAAGATAACTGGAAAACGTAAAGTTATGTTTATGCTTTGTACGCCCAAGAGGTGGCGCCACTAGTCGAGAAGAGGAGAATTATGGCGGGACTATAGCCTCTACACCACAGGCACTTGGACCGTTTCAATAATAAAATGATGGTTAATAATAATAAATACAACTTGTCAGTAGGACTAGTACTACAGTACCAGCAATAGTCTTAATGTTTGATTTGACCTAATAACTTCACTTCAACACCGTTAAATACACCGATGCAACACATAGCCCGCACGCCATTGTGCATGCACAGATACACAGTAGGTTAGAAGTACTCCCGAAGTACTACCTACTACTAACCTACTACTACCTACTACTACCTACTACTACCTACTAGTACTACTACCTACTACTCCCTACTGTGTAGTACTACTACTCCCTACTACTACCTATACTACTCTAACCTACTGTGTATCTGTGCATGCACAATGGCGTGCGGGCTATGTGTTGCATCGGTGTATTTAACGGTGTTGAAGTGAAGTTATTAGGTCAAATCAAACATTAAGACTATTGCTGGTACTGTAGTACTA